CTGAGCCGTGAGACTGTCTTAAAAAAAAAAAAGAAAAACAGGAGAATATTGACATAATTTTGGCTATCCTTAGTGAGCAAAACCCTGAAAGCACAAAGAAAAGGATTTACATAGTGGTTTCACTATGTTAAATTTAAAGCTTCCATATAACAAATGACATTGGAAACAAAGTTAAAAGTTGCAGAGTGGAAGAAAAGATTTGCACATGTAACAGATGAAAGTGATCATCCTTGCTAAAGAAAGACCTTCTATAGTTCAACCAGTCAATGGGAAGAGTGGACAGAAGATGAGTTGCATTTGGGGCTGGTTTGGGCACTGTACTGAGAAAACTGCCCAGGGCTCAGCATGGTGGTACCCAGGCCTGTGCCTCCTGAACAGACACCGCTAGCCAGTGTGGAGGCTTTTGGGGGAAGTCGCGGGTTTTCCAGTCAGAGCTTCTACTCGGAGACTTTGGTGTGCCTGGGGCAAGGGTGGAGAGGGACCACACAGCTCTTTGAGGATTGAGATTCTGTTCTTTGTCTCCCTGCAGAAATCTGCCTTGATTGTCCAGGGGCCACGGGATGTGAAGAAGCGGGAGCTGGTCTTCCTCCAGTTCCGCTTGAACAAAAGTAGTGAGGACTTCAGCGCCATCGATTACCTCCTCTTCTCTTCTTTCCATGAATTCCTGCAAAGGTGGCCTTTAGGGTTTACAGTGGGGTTGCTATCTACCTAAATCTTATTCCAGCCTTGCACATCCCTAGGCTAGAGATGTGGGGGTGAGGGCAGGGGCAGGGGCAGGGGCAGGGGCAGGAAAGCAGTGTTGCCCCGTAACCCACTGACCTCATGAGTTTGGCAGGTCCATTAAACCTCTCACAATAATGAAGTTCAGTGAGCCTGGTGTGGAGGCACATTCTGGCTCATCATGCACATAGTACTGGCTGCTTCTGGAGAGATGATTTGGTCTGGCCATTGCCTGGGGCTGCCTGGTGACCCCTTAAGAGCAAGTCCCTGCCTGGTACCTTGGTTTCCTTTGCAGTATGCATAGGTTTTACCCTTAGTGAGGGCTCACTGTTTTCTCCGTAAGTAACTGGACCCTGGAGCAACTCAGATTTGGGAGCACCGACCCCTGTGCAGTCAAAAGTCTGCATATAACTTTTGACTTCCCCAAACTTAACTACTAATAAGCTACTATTAACAAGAAGCCTTACCAGTAACCGGTTGGTTAACACACATTTGGTATGTTGCACCTAATATATACTGTATTCTTACAATAAAATAAACTATAGAAAAGAAAATGTCATTGAGAAAATTATAAAGGAGAGAAATATACCTACTATTCATGAAGTGGAAGTGGATCATCATACAGGTCTTCATCCTCCTCATCTTCGTGTTGAGTAGGGGGAGGAGGAAGGGAAAGGTTGGTTTTGCTGTCTCAAGGCAGTGGACGCAGAAGACAATCCATGTGAAAGTGGACTCACAAAGTTCAAACCTGTGTTTTCAAGGGTGACTGGTATCTCTGTTACGAAGGTCTAAGTCCTGCTGGCTGCTCTTGGTCTTCACTTACAGTGATGTTGTCCCCTGACCATAAGAAAGTTCCTGTCTGCTTCACACATGCTGCTTTAGGGTCACATGGTGGTTCCATCTCTGGGGGCCCAGAATGTTCATTAAGGGCAGGAGAATTTTCCACATGTGCCTGAGCTGAGGGTGGTTCAGTCCCAGTCAGGTTTTGCTGAGCCCTGAGATTCCATTCACAGTAAGTGGAGCAGCAGCTATGGTGGCAGGGAGGCTGCTCCACAGCTGGACAGGAAGCACGTACCATCCTTCCTCCTCTGGAGCCTCTGGCTCAGCATTTTCCATCCTTTCTGCTACCTAGAATTCCCTTTCCCTTCCTTGCTTAAAGTTGGCCTGTCTTGCCTTCCCCCTGAAAGAATTTCCAAAGGCTCTCACCCCCACTCTGTGTTCCTTTCATGAGTTTCCTCAGTACAGTGCTGCAGTTTCTACTTGATTGTGTTAGTGTTGATTTTACTGCACCTACATCAGCCTAGAGCCTATATTGTGGGTATGTCATCTGGCAGAGAGATCCCCAAGTATCCTCTTCCCCTCTCTGGGCCTTCCAGAGGGAGCTGACAGGTCAATGAGGGCTTCCTTGGGCTCTGCTTGAGTCCAGAGTTTTTGGAGGAGCTGAATGTGAAGTGGCCAATTGCTTTAGAAGCAGGTGGTGGGAAGGAGGAGGAATTCTCCCATAGTGAGCTTCAGAGATCATGCTCTTACCTTCAGGCTGGTGATAACTCCTCCTTTATTTGGAAACTGAATGGGAAATAAGCAGGGATGGCCCTTGTTTTTGCTGGTGACTGACACAACAGTCAAAAAATTTCAAGAGGAAGCCGGGAGTAGGCATCCTGATGTGGCAGCAAAGGAACCAGCTTGCAGTGGGGGCTGGAGTCTGACCATGTTTGAATCCTGCTGTCAGCTCTGAAATGACTCGGATCTTTCTTCTCTCTATCCTCCAAGCCCAGACAGAGTAGGCTTCATGCAGGCCTGTGAGAGTGCCTATTCCAGCTGGAAGTTCTCTGGGGGCTTCCGCACCTGGGTCAAGATGTCACTGGTGAAGACCAAGGAAGAAGATGGACGAGAAGCAGTGGAGTTCCGGCAGGAGGTAGGTGGGTCTGGGTTTGCTTGGAACTGCTGGTGACTTTTTCATACTTGAGAGGATGGAAAGGGACACAAGTAGAGTTTCATGTGCTAGAGAGGCTATGTTCTATAGGCAGTCATATGGCTACTGGTTCTCACAGAACACATGTATAGAGCAGAGATCACCGAGTCTTGCATAGAGATAGATGACTTTGTCCAGCTGTATGACATCCCGCATCCAGCCACACTCCCAGAGCTCTTGGCAGCAGCATAGCAAATGAATTATTTGCAGAGCAGACTAGACACAGTGGTCTCTCAAGGGCCATGCACATGATGATCCATTGGGATGAAGGAAGAATAGGCTAGCTTTTTTTGGTATTTATTTTTATCTCATCCTTTCTAACATTTCAATTTTTGAATACTTAAAATATCTATAATATTAGAATAGTAACAGTAAGTATACATTATATGTCACCTATAAAGTTATAAATATCTAGGTGCATGCTGAAAATATTTTTACTAATGGGAACTCTGATCAAAAAGGTTTCAGCCCACTGGCCTGGAGGCCAGGAGATATGCTAGGCCTCTCTCGCATGATGCCCATTAGAGCTGGAGAGGACCTTGGGAAAAGATCTGGCAGTAGGGATGAAGATGGGAGATTCTGACTGCCTCAGTGGGGCTGTTGATAAGTCACCAACAAAAGCACAGCCCATCCCTGCTTGTAAGGCTTCTACCTTGGGAGCGGCTCTCTGCTTTCCTCCCACATTCACACTGAGAGCCAGACCGTCCTGCGCATAGGTGGCCAGGTGCAGCAGGGGAAGCAGGAGGAGACAGGTCTGTTCTCTCATCCTTTCTTCCTCCTGGGAGGTGTTCCATTTGGGCTGGAAGCCAAGGGTCAGCATTAGGCCCCACTCCAACATCCATGGCCAGAAGTCATGCGGTAGTCCAGTTGAGGACTGTCTTGGTTAAAATTAAACTATCCTCCCTTCTTGAGTTCTGGCTCCTATGACTAGTCTAAGCTTGATACTTTTGGGAGAGACTCAAAGCCAATTTTTTTCAAGGAGACAAGCTATTTTTCTTATTTAGGAGGTGACAGCCCTCCTGGAGATAGGACCTTAAAATATTCCTATTTTGTAAAATAACTTATCTCCTGAATTTTTTTTTTCTTTTTGAGATGGGAGCCTCAGGCTGTCCCCCTGGGTAGAGTGCCATGGCATCTCAGCTCACAGCAACCTCCAACTCCTGGGCTCAAGCGAGTCTCCTGCCTC